AATCAATGTAACACCTTCTTCACAGCAATTGTTAGAATTAGACAAAAACAAAAATCAGAAAAACATAGAGGATCTGAATAACATTATCTACTACCTTGATCTAACTGATAATTCTAAAACACTCTACAACCAACAACTGCAGAATACATATTCTTTTCAAGTGCATGTGGTACTAAGAGATACCATATTTTGGGCCATAAAATCAAGATCAGAACAAGGACAAAATCACTATACAGTGCTACATTTCACTGCCTCTCCTAAAAACACAAAACAGAACTTCTTGAGAAAGTAAAAGTAACTCTTCTTTCCCCAAAGAAGGTGACAGGCAATGTTTACTTAGATCACAGGTAGTCAACAATAAACCTATGAACAGCCTTAGAGAACCCAAATTAAAGACAACTGAAAGTATTTACATAGTCATAGTTTTGGAAAAATACCGTTAGGATTTATTTATATCTACATTGAGGGATTTAAGCATGATTGTTCAAATCCTTTATTCTATTATAGTTCTTAGGCTGCTTCCTTTCTGAAACCATCTAATATTTCTATTGATCTCATTTTAAGGCTGGAACACTCAAGTCCCTGAGGAAAAGAGAAAGCACAGACTCAATTTCCATAGCAACTCTAAATGCATCACACTGTATTTGTATATGAGAATTTGATTTAAATATATTAATATATGTGAATTTGCAATGTGTCTAAGCTGTGGTTGCTATAGGAACTGCAACTTGAAATTTCCTTTTAAGTTTAGTAAGTGCTCACACTTAACAACTGAATTCCGCCCCCCCCCCACCCCCCGACCCGGTTATCTTGAGTTGCAGATAAGGCTCACTGCAATAAACTTATAAACATCATGACTCACAATGATATATGCACTTAACAGAGCTCTATCATTATGAAAATGTGTATTTTAACACAGGCTCCTCGTTGGTAGATCAAAAGCAATTCAAGATGCGATTCTTCAAAATGTAGATAGAACAACTTGTCAGGCAGTCATTCACCCTCATGTGGTAGCCTCTGCTTTTGCCAAAGCTTATTGCAGTGCAGGTAAGTCACCCAACTACACACAGACACCAATGGGCTCTACGGCTTCTCTGAAGCTGCAGAAGGGTATTTTGTGTGTCTACTGAAATGGCAGAAAAACCTAGCATGTTCTCACAACAGCAGAATGCACTGAGTGTGTGGAGTGCATCTATTTCATACAAAAGCAAACAACCCATGCAGCATGGCTGTAGAAGTAGTCTGTATGATGAAAAAACTTTTTTTTTGTCAATTTAGACTGTACTTAATTATCAACATGTGGAGGATCCATTCCATGATCATATTTCCACTCTAATATGGGCCCTTTACCTCAAGATCCTCTGGAGCTTCTCCTTACTGCTCTTAATGTATTATAGTCAGGACATGCAAGTTGCTTTTAATATTAGCCTAAGGAAATATTTGGGGAGAAAGATCCACTGCAAAATCCATCAAGTATCCCAAAGTGAAACGAAAAAATAAAGATGATCTCCTGCTTTCGATTATACCAGCCAATGTTTATTCCCACTAATGCAGATGGTTGAGAAATGACAAGGCTTAGAGGCGGGACAGAAATTACTGAATGTCACTGACACGGCATCACTGTCCGTTAACTGTGATCTAGATCTGAGAACTCCCAGAGAGCTGACCCTCACACCTCAGCATCAAGCATGTTGCCTTCCATTTTGGGTGGACAAAATCGGACTTGTATATAAAGAAGATGGCCCTGAATGGGGTTTCACTTTAGAGACTGTAAGTCGTTCATGGGGGAGATGATTATAAACAGAATCTTAAGAATTAGAAGGGAACTCTGAGTGTTATCAGTTAGTACACGCTGGTGTCCCACCGATCCTGAGGGATACGGAGAGGCACGGAGCTATTTGATTCTATGATAAAGCATTCAGGCTGCTGGGCTGTTTAGCAAGCTTTCTGAAGTTTTCTGGCTCTTCCTTGACTGATGCTTATACTTTCTATTGCTTTCAGTGTACTCCTTGCCCTAATAAGTTATGTGCTGAGACACCACATCCCCATGTTTGTTATACATTTTATATTACAGATTTTACAACACCTATTCTGACTCTTGGAAGACATTTTGGTTTACATTTTCTTGGCTGTATTCCCAAGAGCCGGATACATGACCTCAAGAAAAATGAGGTTTTACTGTATTTATAGGAGCCTTTCAGACCTATTATAACTTTTAAAACAGTGTTCTATATGTGATGTATACCTTGCTACAATTTTTTCCACAGTATAGTTTTTCCAACCCACAATGTCCAAGAGACAGAACCTATTTCATTAAAAAGGGTATGACTGGCCTGACTTTTGAAAGTAATCCTTTCTCCCGGATTAAGACCAATGCGGTGCACGTGGTCAAGGTATTAGGAACACGAGCCTTAAGAACTACTACCTTCTGGAACATGAAAAACCCTATTTGTTACTTGTTGACTTCAATGTGTTTCCTGAGCTGTGTCCCTTGAGAGGTTAAGCTCTGGAGGCAATATATTTCTGTTCCAGGTTCATGGACATTCTCTCAAAATAGCACGTGTTTCTCGGTGACGTCCATGACAGACCAATGGGGGAAGTGCTAGAAAACAAGGCCAAGGCAGCGCCCGGAGCGGTGGTCTTGGGGGAGCGGGAGCGGTGGTGCCGGTCCAAGGACATGCTGTGATTGCCCAAGGAAAACAAACTTCTGAGGCCTGTGCGATTTCACCACTAAAACAAACTTGGGGGGGAAAAAAAAGTGGCAGCTGAGTTTTAAGATGAATCTGTACATCATTAAGAGCTCTAGAAAAAGACGCTAAGATGAGAAATGCCAGGTGCCCCGAGTCTCCCCTCCCGCCCATGTCCTCCCCTCCTCCATCTGCTCACCAAGGCCCGCACACTGGACAGAACACACCCCTCCTCTCCTTGACCCCATCTACTGCACTGACCGACGTTTCTGACCAAACTTGAAGGGCAATTTGAACTGCTGTAGATTTCTGTTCCCCAAAACTCTTGTGGCTTTCTACCCAACCTCTCTCTAGCACTTGTTAAAATAAGAATAAAAATAAAAATAAAATTCCCCTTCCTCTCTAAGTTTGTATCAACACCCTTGACCTCATTTTCTCCCTCCAGCTTAAGGGTCCTGCTCCACAAATTTCCCCTCCTTTTTCCAACCATCAACTATTTCTTCTCCACGGACTTTTCTCTCATCTTACAAACTTGCCCACTGTGCCTTGTCCTAAAAGCAGGTGAAAACAGATCAAGGACAACACCATGCTCCTTCCAATCTCACTTCTTGAGGCTGTCAGCTTTCCCCAACTCAACGTTTTTCCTCAACTTTTTCCCTAATGAGTTTGGTGAAGGTGGAATGTGCTCCCACTGCACGACTTTACCACTTGTGAGGTCATGCCCTCGTCCAGTCTCTGGAATCTAGGTTTATGCACTCAGTGTTTTAACAGACCAGTTCTCTCAAGGATTATTCCTCACCTCCTGGGAGCCCGGTATCTTTGGCCTCTTTTTGGGCTTCATTCTATTTGATCTCTCCACAATTAATATTCGGCACTGCTGGTGATCCCTCTTTCTAGAGATTTCCTACTGTTCATTCTCTGATGCTGAGTTTTTGGAGTTTTTCCCCCCGATGTTCAGGTCTTTTTTCTCAGCTTCCTCTTTTCCCTCTTGCTCCTTAAATGTTCGTATTTCCAGAGACCTGTGCTTAGCTTAGTTTATTTTATACAAACTCATTCAATCCATGGCTTCAAAGCTGGATTTTTATGCTATCTTCATCTCCTTCCTCCCATTCCGCCACCCACTCTGGGTCCCATCATTCCACTGAATGACCCTAAGTTGAGAAATCCAATGGGCTCTTCCAGTCCTCATTTTACTTGACTCCTCCACAGACTGAGCAATGTCTCAGTTGGCCATTCTGTTCCCTACCTTCTGCTTCTCTGACATGTCATTCCCTCATTTCCTTCCATCTTTCTGGCATCTTCCCTGCTCTTGTGCAAACCCTTCCTTTTCTGCCCAAACACTCAGTGTTAGAGTTCTTCAAGCCAGTCTCTCCCCTTCCCACTGAGGGCTCACTTCCAGCCTCAATGACATGGATATCTGGAAGCCTCACAGATGGACCCCTCTAGCCTCTACAACATGCCTGTGTTGTTCAGTATTAGTATTCTTCTAGCCACCTCTTATCCATTCTCATTGGAGGTGGGGCATAAATAAGGAATTTGTATTATTTACCAAATTAATGTGACTGATTTAACAAGCATGAGCACTGGTTTTTACGACGGAACAAGAGTTTCTGAGCATTTCATCATTCAACTGTCCGGTACCCCAACTTGTGTAATAATGACCACAATTGTACAAGAACACCCTTCTGCTTGATAAAGTCTATTTTTTATGGAAGGATGTTTATATCTTTGAAAGGTTTGATCCACAACAGTTTAAAAGAATTCGAAGTCCTAGGTATTCATCCCCAATGACTTCACTTTTGGACCAAGCTGGATAAAATGAGGTCTTGCTGAATATCATCACATAAAAATTGGCACTGACCATATAGGAGATAGGATGCATATTTCCTAACTTTCTTTTGCAAGATTATAGATTATTCATATTTAAAAGCATAAATTGGTTCATACCCTGATTTGTACCGCCAGCAATTAAGCAGTAAAAATATTTCAGTTGAAATCTAAACAGACTTAGTATTTTTCAGAAAAACATACCAAGAAAATGAAATCGATCCCTGGAGTATGATCTTAACACACAGCTTGAATGATAAAAAGTGAGTAACTCTGCCTTTTTAGTAGTTTAAATCATGATCATTAGACTTATTTACAGATAAGGCACGCTGGGAAGATAAGATGATCAAATAGACACAATAAAAATCATCCAGAGGCACGGAGAGACTGGCTGCTGGGAAGAATCAACCCAACACAGGAGAGCACAGATCAACCGGAACCATTGCCCCGACGAAAAGCAACTGTCGGCTTTCACTGTTCTGATACCTGCGGTGGGGGAGTTTGCGTGGTGAGACTTTTTCGGCAGGTTGAAGATCTGTTCGCCAGGGTCGGGGGGAGGAATTGCATCTTGCCCTTGCCGTGCTTCCACAGGGTCATACTCCTTCCCATCGTAGTTAGCATCATAGAATTTCTTAAACCACTGAATGAAATCCAGGTTGTCCTGGAAACGCCCTTTCACCAGCTTCTCCACTGGGATCACCTGCAATATAAAATCGCCGTGAGTCATGACCCTGTGTGTACTTAACACAACCAAAGGGTTCCCTGTAACTATTTCCTACGCGTCCATGATTACGGACTACTGGTCGCCCCACAGCTTCTTGGCCAGCTATGTTTTAAAAGTCACCTTTTTCCCCCCATCATATTAAAGAAAAGTTAAACTAAAATGCTGTAGGTGGTTCTTCTGAATTATTTCATACTTCTGAACAAATGAGATGAAACAAGAAATACCCTTAGCTGTCAAGAGGGGCTGATCCTCTTCATAATGGATTTAACTACTCAAGCATCTCCTTGCAAAAATGGGCCTGGGATGTGGTGCTCTTTCAAAATTGATGGATTTTCCCTCTTTTTTTCTAACCTTGCTCCAGTGGTGCTGGACTGAACTCCTGTAAGGATTATAGCTACCAGACATGTGAATGAGACTCAGATCGATGCAAGCATACACTTATCTAATGGTTTGTATGAAGCAAAAGAAACTTTCCTGTTTGTTGTTGTTGTTTTGTATTTACACACTAGAGAGAGACAAGCATTAAGAACAACAGCCTGCAGGGTGCCTGGGGGGTGGCGGGGGGTGGCGGGGGGGGGCGCTCAGTTAGGCTGCTGACTCTTGATTTTGACTCCGGTCCTGATCTCAGGGTCATGAGATCAGCTACACAGGAGCACCACTAACGTGCCATGGGAGAGGAGAGGGACAGAAATGGGGGCTGCTTAGGGGAGTCCCTGAAGGCATTCTGCACTATATTCACCTCAACTTCTGAGACAGAGCTCGGCTTTTCATGGAGTAACTCTTTCTATGGCAACCTAGACAGCCAATAGATGTTCCCTTTAGAGGAACTTTCAGAATCATGACAGGAAGAAATGTGGGGTGACTGATTACCTTTACTTCAGTGGGCAGTTATTTTTAGAGGAAAATGGAAAAAAAAAAAGGACTTAGTTATGCAAGTTGTGCCATTACCAGGTTCTGGCTTCCTCATTTTTGAGTGGGAATGCTAGCTGAATGTAAGCCATGAGAGCTACAAAGCTGGGGAGTGATCTGATCACTGGTACACAATTCAGACACAAATACAAAGCACACAGCTTCACTGTGTAATAACATGAACGGAAGCCATATAAATTAAATTTTCAGCAAGGCTTTGCCACCTCAGGAGCTGGATACCACTGATATCCTAAAATGGATCATCAGGACCACTTAAAAACAGAGAAAGACCCTAAGTATCAACAACCACTTGAACGAAAAAAACCTCTGAAGCATTTTAGGCCAGCCATTAAACAAAATCATTAGCAATGGATTTTTCAAAAATGTTTTCGATGAAGCTAAAACTGAAAAGAACTCAAGTACGGAGCAAAATAAAGAGAAACAAACTTTGGGAGGGGACCACATTTCTTGTGAAGACTCTTCCAGTCAGGGAGACTTGGATGCGGATCTCGCTCTCCTCCCAGACTTAGTGAAGTCTGCCCACACCGAAGAATTCCTTCCACACATGCACTTAGTAGTTGACTTTTTATTGTGCCAAATATTTTCATGTTTTCTGATTTATAACTTTTGTTAATGCCGATACTGATTTTTAAGTGCCTTCTTAGGGAATAAGGCCCTTTAATTAACATGGTACTAGATTTTGTTTTCTGCGAAATGTTAACATTTAGAACCAGTTTTAGATGATGGTACTACTTTAACTGTTCCAAGTAGGCACTTACTTCTGTTGACTTAATTTCACACTCCCTATCAAAATGGAAATTCTGGGGGCATAAGTTGAAAATCTGGGGTGGCAAGCAAATCTGCACACAGACACTTCCCACCTGTGTTATGCTCTGCCAAGCATGCACAGGGACCATTGCCTCTCCAAGAACACTTGGGTGAAATCAGAGCATATTTAGCTAGAGAGGCCAACAACGGTGATGAAAGCCAATCTCCCTGCACCAGAATTTTATATTCAACATTCTTAACAATGGCTCATCCACTCTCTCTGTATATGCTTCCACAGAAATATAGAGCTCCCTAATTTGTTACATAGCTACTTATGAGTGTTTTTCTTTTTGATCTAGAAGCATGTATAGAGAAATAAACCTATGAGTGGGTGTTTTACTTTTTGATCTAGAAGCATGTATAGAGAAAGGATACAAAAATGTATAGAGAAATAATACTGTTAATTAGTAAGGAGAAACTATGTAGCTCTGGTTTCCAATGCATATGGAAGGAGCTAATTGGAAATTAACCACAGCAAAGGACAAAGTTGAAAAGACTCTAAAAGGTTGAGCTGTTAGAGGTAGGTTTCTTGAAATAAAAATTCTGAGAAAACAAGAAGCAAAGATTTTAATATTTAGTAAGAATGCTTTGATTTAGGAAGATATTACTTTAAAAATATGTACAGTTTAGCAAACTTTTCTCTTTTCCTTTAACCTGTCTCTTGTAACAGTATTTAACGTTTTTCATTTCCATGGCCTAGTTACTACTACTATTGATGCCAAGAAAAGTTTTCTGTTTTTCCCATTTTTTTCTTTCTCCTTGTTCAAAATTCCTTTCTTCCCAAAACTATTCCCTCTAAGAAATATGTCCTAGATAATGACTATGGATTATATATGTATTTGCATAACAGGAAGTGTGCAGAGACTGAGTGGACTTTAGCGATAGTCCTTTAGCTGTCAGTTGAGAGATTTCCTTAAATGAAAGCCTCCTACAAATATGGAAGTGAGGGTTGATACTTTATGCTAGGCACAGACCCCAAACTACTTTGACAATGTCAAGATATATACCATTGATACGTCTTTGGATTTTTTGCATTTTGGCACAAAAACAATTTTAAGGAAAGACCCTGCATTTTACGGAGGTGTAAGTTAGTTTCCTACCTTATCAACATTCATTCGCTTAAATGATGCTTGCAGAAGTTTAAAATTGTGAATATACTCATGCTCCAACTTTGCTTGAAATTTTACTTTCTTCAAACTAATGCAGCCTGGAAAGAGCATATCCATGAATTGGCAATAGGCAGCTCCTGGAAAGAGAGGAGAAAAATGCTGAGTTAAGTCTGACTGTAGCCAGGTGTGACTGAGGACTGCGAGGCAGGGAGGAAGCCCTCAGCTGTGTGCTCCTCTCAAAGTGCCTACACCTCCCTCATTCACTCAGGCTGGGTGCCTGAGGGGAAGGGACCAGGCCTCTGGGCAGCTCCGGCTGCTCTCCCCATTCCTAGTCACTGCGGTACTGACGCTGGGTTCTCCAGAGCATCCCCACATTCCACGAATAGTGACCAGAAATACATTAACACCAAGGAAATCAGGGTAAGAATAACTCTTAGCTTCGATCAGAAAAAAAGAAACATTTTTTCCTTCCGTCTATATGCTACCTGCTCCAAATCATCAAAATATATAGATGTACGAGAAAAACAAAGTTTAAACACAAGAAAACCGCAAAACTTCTCATGAAATGTGTAGCTCAAAAAAATACGCATGAAAATACAAATATGCCCAAGGTGTTTTATATCCACCTTGCAAAATGACTTAGGTGAAACTGGATACCTAAACCATCTAACGCCAAAAACAGCTGTATACCAATTTAATTCCAGGTTAGAGCAATGGGGTCCTATATTAACATGAAGGATGAAGACATGGAGACTCTGAAACTTACAGAAGTTGAGAGTCATGCTGTTTATGACTGAGGAATAAAAATAACAGAAATGTTCAATGAGCCCCCGAGGAAATGGTTCTAGAAAAAAGGATTAGTAAGTCTTTCATATACATATATATATATATGTTTTTTATGAAGAACTCTTACATCATGACAATTTCCACTAGAAAATCCCAGCGAGATCATGTTTACTGATTCATATCTTCTTAATAGTTAAGGCTACAGGCATTTAGAAAAGACATTCAAAGCCAGAATGATTATTTTTCTTTTACAAGGAAGAAAAGCAATTGAGCAGCAAGAATGAGAACAAGATGCCATTTCTGTGTTCTCTTTCCTTCTCCAGATCTCTTGGTCTGTTTCTATAATGTGCCAGTGATGGCCTTTCTGGGACATGAAAGGCTCCCCTCATCCTCTGATATCAAGGTTTCTGTGAAAAGCTCTATTCATTTGGGAGATTCACCTTTACATCGGAAGAAGCCAACTCATCTCTTAGGCCATAGATACTGAGCATCCTTTACTGAGATAGGAATCCAAGATCAAACACGGTGCCAGGGATCTAAGGGCTGCCTCAACAGGACATGGTGAGGCAGCTCATGGTTCGTAGGTAAGAGTATAAAGTAATGAACTATAGACCACAGTAAATATCACCTCCAGAATCTATGCATCTGTGAGGTTTCCCCTTAGACACCAATACCCTGAGCACAAACTAGTATATTCCTACTCAAGCAGATGGGCTCTCTTAAAAACAAAATAAGACAAAAAACACTGGAGGAGATAAGAGAAACATCATGATCTTGGGTGGGGGGGGCATTCTTACAGACATAATTCAATTATTCAGGTCTTCCTTTTGAAGTACCCTCACACGGAGCAAATTCCAAGAGCCATTTGAATAGTATTTTTACAAGAGATGGGGCTGTCTAAACATAACTGTCTCGTTACCCACTTTTTGAAGAGTTATTCTTACTTCTGTAGTGTTTAGCATAAAATGTACGTATAAAGATCCAGATACCTATGTATTCTTACAAACTAACCAACCAATTCACTCACTTCCCAAATTTAAAAAGTAGTAACAGCTTTTGGAAAGAAAAGCAAACTTGAAATAGGGAGGAAAAAAGGAAAAACCATTTCTAGTTCACCTAAAGAGAACCACTGTTAATGTTCTGGTATATACCATTCTCTCTCTCTCTTTTTAAATCTAACAGATTGATTCCCTTCTGGGTCATTAATGGTCTCTACTGACATTTTTAATGGGTGTCAGATTTTTATATCAGGCTAAGCAACTTTCCCAAACCAAGATTAGATAAATATTCACATATATTTTCTTCAAGTATTTTATGGTCTCGATTCACATTTACATTCTGAATTCATGTAGAATTTATTTTGGTCCATGACATAAAGGATGGCTCTAATTTTAGTTACTCCAAATGTTAGTGGGAATCTGTCATTTTTGGCTCGCCAACATTTGGGCAACTTCCTGTCTGGGTTGATGCTACAGTGCCTTGCCTCCCAGCACAGCACTGATGGTGAGCAGACATCCTTTTCCCCATCCCCAGCAGTAAAGATGCAGGCCTGTGTTCTGGGCTCTGCCTGGATCTCAGTCTTAATAGTGACAGAAATACACAGGGACTATTAGAATTTAGTCATGGTGGCACTGGTGGGATCTAGAGTCCTGTGACAACAACACAGTGGCATCCTAGGCCAGTGGCACAAGGGAGGCTCTGTTCCCAGCTTCTGGCTTGATTTCCTATTGACTGAGCTACCAAATATTCTTCCTGTAAATGTGTCTCTGCTTAAGCTTGCCAGGATTATTTTTTGCTATTTTCATCGGCAAATGCCAACTGTTAAAGTCAGCTAGGTGTTGAACGTCATCATTTCATGAATAATCTGTATTTTTCCCACTGAGGAAAAGCATTAGCTTTACTATATATTGCTTTCCTAATACATGCATTTAGGTCTCCTTCTAGACTTAAATTTATTTTGGTCTGTCCCAGTAAAGTTCATACTCTTAATCAAATACTCTAATATATATTATTAACTGTAGAATAATTTCCCTTCTTCCTCAAAATTTAATTGTCTTAAATTTTATCATGCATTCTTTCCTTTCTATTTTTATATTTGTCATTCATGGCATATAGAAGATAGATTTTCTTTAAAAAATTAGTAATTTACTAAATAACAGCTCTATTGAGATATAACTCACATATCAAAGTTCAACTTTTTGAAGTACAGTTGACCCTTGAATAGCATGGGTGCTAGGGGTGCTGACCCTCCCACACAGTTGAAAATCTGCATGTAACTTTTAACTTCCAAAAAACTAAACTACTAATAGCCTACTGCTGACTAGAAGCCTTACCGAAAGCCTTACCAGTAACAGTCAACATGCTTTGTATGTTTATATGTATTCTATCCAAATACTGTTTTCTTACAATAAAGCAAGCTAGAGAAAATGTTAAGAAAATCACTAGAGAAACTACATTTATGACACTGTACTGTACTTATCTTTAAAAAATCCATATATAAATGGAAACGTGCGGTTCAAACCCATGTTGTTCAAGGGTCAATTGTATACAATTCTGTGGCATTGAAGGTATTCACAGAATTGTGCATCCATCACTACTATCTAATTCCAGAAGGTTTTCATTATCACCAAAATAAACTTCATACCTCTTAGCAGCCACTCTCTCCCCACCCCCTCCCCCCGATCCTGGTAACCAACTGCTGATCTATTTTCTGTTTTTATGGATCTGCCTATTCTGGATATTTCATATAAATGCATCATAAATTATGTGGCCTTTGTGTCTGGTTTAACTTAGCAAAATCCTTTCAAGGTTCATCCATGTTGTGGTGTGTATCAGAACTTTATATTCCTTTCTATGGCTTAATAATATTCTATTGTGTGCATATACCACATTTTGTTGATTTACTCATCAGCTAATGAAAGTTTGGGTTTTCACTTTTGGGCTAGTACGAGCAATGCTATTATGAACTCTCATGTACAAGATTTTGTGCGGACTTAAGTTTTCAGTTCTCTTGGGATATGGTACACCTCTATGTTTAACATTTGAGGAACTGCCAAACTGTTTTCTATTTTACATTCCCACCAGAAATGTATGAGGGTTCCAGTTTCTCCACATCTTCACCAATCATAATTGTCTTTTTGATTCTAGTCATCCTAGTTGGTGTGAATTTTTATTTGATTTCCCTAAAGACTAAGAATGTTAAACATCTTTTTCATATGTTTTTGGCCATTTATAGATCTTCTTTGGAGAAATGTTTATGCAAATGCTTTGCCCATTTTTAAAGTGAGTTATTTTTCCTTTAATTGGTGAAAGTTTTTTCTACATTTTAGGGACAAGTCTCTTATCAGGTATCTAATTTGCAAATACTTCCTCCTGTTCTGTGGATTGTCTTTTTACTTTCTTGATAGCATCTTTTGAAGCACGCGTGGTTTTTTTTATTTTTATTTTATTTATTAGAGAGAGAGAGAGAGAGAGAGTGTGCAAGTGGGGTAGAAGGACAGGAAGAGAGAGAATCCCAAGCAAACTCTTCACTGAGCACGGAGACCTACATGGGACTCAATCCCACAGCCCTGAGATCAAGACCCAAGCTGAAATCAAGACCTGGATGCCTAACTGACTGAGTCGCCCAGGCGCGCAATACACATTTTTACTTTTGATGAAGCACGATTTTTTTTTTTTTGTCATTTGGGCTTTTGTCATTTCTAACAAACCCCTGCCTAATCCAAGATCATAATGATTTACACCTACATTTTCTTCTAAAAGTTGTATAGTTTTAGTTCATACATTTAGGTCAGTGATCCATTTTGAATTATTTCTTATATATATAGGTGTAATGGCAGGTCTAATTTCGTAATTTTGCATGCAACTATCCAGTTGTCCTGGCACCATTTATTGAAAAGACTATTACTTTCCATTCAATTGTCTTAGCACTCTTGTTGAAAATCAATTAGCTCTCAATGTATGGGTCTATTTTTGGGCTCTCAATTCTACTTATATACCTATCCTTATGCAGTAATAGTCTTGATTACTGTAGCTTTGTAGTCAGTTTTGAAATCAAAAGCAGAAATCCTCCAACTTTGCTTTTCCTTTCCAAACAGGTATTCTGGTTTCCTTACATTTCCATATTAGTTTTAGGGTCAGTTCAACAATTTCTGTAAAAAGGCAGCGAAGATTTTGATAGGGATTGGACTGAATCTAGAGATTTAGAAAATACTGCCATCTTAACAATAGTTAGTCTTCCAATCCATGAACATGGGATGTCTTTCTACTTAATTTCTTTCAATGATGTTTTCTAGTTTTCAGTATATAAAGCCTTCCACTTTTAAATTTTTATTTCTTTAAATGCCATTGT